AGAGGTTGGTTCCCAAGGTTGTCGTCTTTTGGTTTCTCTCGGGCTTCTCTCCAGCGCTCGGCAGGATCGGCTCCTCCGCGCGGCTCGGGCAGCTCGCCTGCCCAGAGGATGCCAGACAGCAATCGCAGACTTTCGGAGGTTGATAGACCTCCTACCCTGACACGTCGATTCGCGAATTGGTCGTTTTCGGTTCGCGAGAGGGTGCCGCGGCCGTCGTTTTTGCGGGCCCAGGCCCGTCGGTTTCGGCCCCAGGCTGTTTTCACGAAAGGGCGGCTTGCGAAAGGAAGGTTTGTCCACCGCCGAATCTTCGGGCCGACCTCGCCCGCCCCCCAAACCGACGTGCTCTCTTGCTCCCGCCGCGGGCTCGATGCTTTGTTCCACAGGGGAACACGTGGATCTTGGCCCGTTCGCACCCGGCCACGACCTCCTTCGATCGGCAGCGGGCCCTGATGACCAAGGAGCGCCTCACGGACCCCTTACCCGGCTGGGTTCCCACGGTCGGGCGGGCACCTTCGCGCTGGCAACCTCATCGCCATCTCGGTGCACTTCTTGCCGAAGCACGGGTTCGGGGGCCTCGACCTGGATAAATGGGTTTCGTTCCGAGCCTTCTTGGCTCCGGATCCGGACCCATGGATCATCGTTGCCGACTGGAACCTCACCCCGAAGGTTCTCTCGGGCAACTCCTCCCTGAAGGATGTTGGAGGAGTTACCGCCCCCCCAGATGTCAAGGTGACCTGCGACAAGGGCGTGGGCTCCCTGATAGACTACGTGGCGGCGTCGGAATCTGCGGCCCACCACATCACGGCCAAGGGCATACTCACGGCCCCTTCGAAGGTCCACCGCGGCCTCCACGCCAAAATTGAGGGCTCGTCGGCGGCGCGGTGGCATCGCACCCTGGCCCTGCTGAGGGCGCCCCCTGCAGTCGAGCGACCGTCGACGGCCCCCGACCCGAACAGCGAGAGACACAAGCGCAAGCAGGCAGCGCTCCAGAGGCGCAAAAAGGCCCTTTCCTGCTGACCATCAAGATGCCTTCCAAGACCTGCACCGACCTCCAGACAAACCGGCGTTAGCGGGCGACGAGTTCGCCATCAGCGTCGACCGCTGGGAGAGCAGCTCACCCGTCAACGCGCAGGGTGATGAGTACCAGCAGCAGTACACCTTCACGGCAAAGATGCGCAAGATCCGCGGCACTCCGATCGTCGGCGCCCTCCTCGACCCTAAGATGACGCCCCGGGAGAAAGCGCCCTTTGCTGGCAGGGCCCGCGGCTGCGCAGCTACCCGGAAGAGTTTGTTGCCCGAAGTAGGCGGCAGAGTGCAAGCGGAGCTGGCTCGTCAAGCGAGCCTGGCCCCGCCCCCGCCAATTCTCAGGATGCACCCGCGGGGTCTAACCCCTAATCCCTCGTTGGTGCGACCCTCCCATTTAAAGTTGCTGGCCCAATGTCCCCCCTGTGAGTCTGGGGCCTAGTGGCCCGCAACACTGTTGCCCCCATTGAATCCCAGCTTGAATCCTCCTCCTCCTCCTCCTCCTCCTCCTCCTCCTCCTCCTCCTCCTTCTCCTCCTCTCCTCCTCCTCCTCTCTCCTCCTCCTTCCTCCTCCTCCTCCTCCCCTCCCCTCCCTCCTCCTCCTCCTCCTCCTCCTCCTCCTCCTCCTCCTCCTCCTCCTCCTCCTCCTCCTCCTCCTCCTCCTCTTCCTCCTCCTCCTCCCCCTCCCCCGCCCCCTCGTCCTCCTCGCCCTCCTCTTCATCCTACTGCGAGGCGGGCAGGGACAGGGGCGGCGCCGGCAGCGCCGGCGGGTCTCGACACGGCAGAGGCGCGAGGCGGGGATTGATCCAAAACCACCGCCTGGGAACCGACGCCCTGGCGTCGAGGCCTCCCAGATGGGGCCCGAGTAGGTGGAGTCGGAGGATCGCGCCGCATCGCCGACACATCGACGACGCATAGGCGACGCATCAGTGATGCACTGGCGACGCATCGTCAACGCTGGCAACGCATCGGCGACGTCGACGCGAAGCAAGTCGGGCTCTACATCGAGCCGCATCGGCGATGCATCGGCGATGCGGCGCGATCCTCAGACCCAGCTGATCGGACCCCCTCTAGGAGGTCTAGAGACTAACATCCCTCGCAGGCGGCGGATATGGATATCAAGAGACTAACATCCCTCGCTTTTTTTAAGAAAAAACTGAATGTATATGTGTATACGTATTTGTATATGTATATGTATATATACATATATGTATACACACATATATATATATATATATATATATGCTTGCCCACACACACACACACACACACACACCACACACACACACACACACACACACCACCCCACCCCACCCCACCCCCACCCCACCCCCCCACCCCACCCCACCCACCCACCCACCCACCCACCCACCCACGCCCACCCACCCACCCCACCCCGCCCCACCCCACACGATCATACATATTATCCCCTCCCTCATCTGCTCCCTGCTCTCCGTCGCACTTCCTCATCCTCTTATCCTCCTTCAGCGGGGTGCGTTGGGGCCTGCCCCGCCAGCTGCTCCTCTCCTTGGGCGGCACGGACAAAACGATCGAGCGATCGACGTAATATTTTCTCTCGCTTGCAAGCTTGCTTTCAGTCACTGCCTTGATGAGCGCGCCATCCATCCATCCATCAGCGGGGCAGCGCAACCTCGGGCTGAGGGCGGCGGCGGGGCACTGCGACCTTGGGCTGAGGGCGGCACGCTTTTTAGTATTCTCTCGCGCTGGATCCCCGTCCCTCTGCACCCTCAGGAGGGGAATGATGATGAAGAGGAAAGGGATCAGGAGAGCGAAGAACTCGATGCTATGAGCGAGGAGGAAGAGGAACTAGGTAAGACGACTGCGACCCCGACGATGATGACGAGGATGATGATGACGATGATGGTGATGACGATGATGACGATGCTGATGATGACGATGACGATGATGATGATGAGCAGGACTGCAGAGGATGAGGAACTGAACACGCTGAGAAAGGGATCCTTTTGCACAGGCTCCCAATAGGAACCCATTATGCACAGGCTCAACAGGAATCCTTGTGCACAGGCTCTCAATAGGAAGCCATGTGTATTGCGTTTCGATAGTATTCTTTTTGTATTAGCTTTCAATAGGAATCCTTCTTGGAGAGGCTCTCACTAGGAATCCTTGTGCAGAGGCTTCCAATAGGAATCGTTGCGAAGAGGCTCTCAATAGGAATCCTTTTTGTAGAGGCTCTCAATGAGAATCCTCTTGTGGAGACTCTCAACAAGAATCATGTTGCACCGGCTCTCAATAGTAATGCAGTAGTCTTGTGTCTCAGTCGGGATGATTTTCATTGGCTCTCACTAGGAATTATTCCCAACCATCCTGTGGTGTTGGGTCCTCGTTTTGAAGAGACGTCGCCCCGCGTTCCTCCTCCTCCTTCCCCCTCCTCACCTTCCCCCCCCCCCCTCCCCCTCCCACACCCATTCTGGCATACCCCTCACACGCTTCGCGGCCCCATAGGGAGCTCCACCGAAGACCCCAGCGGCTGCGCCCGCATGCGGTTCCACCCCCCATTCTGGCACACCCCTCACACGTTTCGTGGCCCCATAGGGAGCTCCACCGAAGGCCCCAGTGGCTGCGCCCGCATGCGGTTCCACCCCCCATTCTGGCACACCCCTCACACGTTTCGTGGCCCCATAGGGAGCTCCACCGAAGGCCCCAGTGGCTGCGCCCGCATGCGGTTCCACCCCCCATTCTGGCACACCCCTCACACGTTTCGTGGCCCCATAGGGAGCTCCACCGAAGGCCCCAGTGGCTGCGCCCGCATGCAGTTCCACCCCCCATTCTGGCACACCCCTCACACGTTTCGTGGCCCCATAGGGAGCTCCACCGAAGGCCCCAGTGGCTGCGCCCGCGCGGTTCCACCCCCCATTCTGGCACACCCCTCACACGTTTCGTGGCCCCATAGGGAGCTCCACCGAAGGCCCCAGTGGCTGCGCCCGCATGCGGTTCCACCCCCATTCTGGCACACCCCTCACACGTTTCGTGGCCCCATAGGGAGCTCCACCGAAGGCCCCAGTGGCTGCGCCCCATGCGGTGGCTCGCAGCTCACACCGTGGCCCCGCCCCGTGGCTGCGCCCGCATGCGGTCTCACACCCCTCACATTGGCCCCATAGGGAGCTCCACCACACCCCTCACACGTTTTGGCCCCATCCACCGAAGGCCCCAGTGGCTGCGCCCGCATGCGGTTCCACACCCCTCACACGTTCGTGGCCCCATAGGGAGCTCCACCGAAGGCCCCAGTGGCTGCGCCCGCATGCGGTTCCATCCCCCATTCTGGCACACCCCTCACACGTTTCGTGGCCCCATAGGGAGCTCCACCGAAGGCCCCAGTGGCTGCGCCCGCATGCGGTTCCACCCCCCATTCTGGCACACCCCTCACACGCTTCGTGGCCCCATAGGGAGCTCCACCAAGCGCTCCAATGGCTGCGCTCGCATGCGGTTCCACCCCCCAATTCGGCACACCCCTCACACGCTTCGTGGGTGGCTCCATGGTGAGCCCCACCGAAGGCCCCAGTGGCTGCGCTCGCATGCGGTTCCATCCCCTTTTTTCGGTACGCCCTTCACACGTCTCGTGGCCCCATAGGGAGCTCCACCGAACGCCGCAGTGGCTGCGCTCGCATGCGGTTCCACCCCCCATTCTGGCACACCCCTCACACGCTTCGTGGCTACATCGGGAGCTCC